CAGCTGACCTGTGAGTTGTAACTTTCAGTGGGAATTACATTTCTAAGTCACTGAGACACTTTGGAAAATGCCATCGTTTAGTAAGATGCCTGTCTACCTGCTGTAGACAGGTCATACGCTTGCGTTCAGAAAACAGCCAAACTTTGTGACCTCTGGGAGGATACAAAACTATTCTGTTTCCAACAGAAAGGGGCAATTCAACCTGCACCTATGATGTCCCTTGAGAAGAGGTGTGGAAAACCCATGCTCTTTAGCCACTGTGAATTGTCCTCATCTTTGGCAAGGCATTTTTTTCTGTCCATATATTTTTGTCACAAAGGGACGTCGTGACTTGCTTTACTTGGAAATAAGTAAATCCTTCTCTGACAGAAGTTCCAAATATATGAAGCTTGTGGATGAATTTGAAGGTGGCAGAAACCACCTGCAATGCCTTTTCCCTCTGCATATCACTGTTAATTTTCAAGGGATCTAATATGGTTTTGTTCAGAGTTTACCTTAAGGTGATAAAGCTGTAGTACTTCGATGTATGCTGACTGGCAGTGCTCAAGCTGGGATAGTCACTGAAACCAAGGGTATTTGCTAAAGCGAGGTGTAACGCAGGAGTAACCCGTGAGCATGCTGGAACTCATCAGCGGCAGTTGAGCACTCTGGGGCAGGACGTGCTTCGTGCCATGACTAATTATAACATCAGTGTATATTGTTCGGTAATTAGTAAATTCTGCTAAGAATCTCCATTTTAAATGGTCTCTTCACAGGCATTTTGCTCTTCCATTTAAAAAAAAGTCATTCTATAATGATTCATTCTGTGATATATATGATATATATGCATATATATCATATATATGATATATATCATAACCTATGATATGTACAAATAGATATAATACAAATTATAACTCATTTGTGTATATATGTATGTACAAATACATATGCACATATATACACATATATCATATATATATGTATGCATGTGTGTGTGTGTATGATTGCTTCAGGAAGGTATCTCACTAGTTAAAAGAGGTGAATGAGTGAAGCACAATATGAATGCCTTCATACCATGTTGTCTGTCGAGTGTCAGGAACCAACCTGTTCCCTGCACATTTTTACTGAGCCTTGCTAGGATAAACATAGGGACTATATAGGATGTACTAGGGAACGGTAGATGAATTATTCAGAAAATTACCAGGAAGAGCAGGAGGCTTTTTGTCTTTTCATGCATAGAAATCAGGACTGGATGGTGTTCTGCGAGATCTATGTTAGCCAAGCAGAAACTACTAGACTTAATAGAGGGAAATAGCTGAGTGAGTTATTTGGACTGTGGTCCAGTTAGTGACATCGTTACTGTCTTCAGCCAGCGTGCTGGTCTTTTCTGGGGCTTAAAAGGAAAGCTAGACTCTTATGCAGGCACTGCCTTTGCAAAATCCTTACCCATTGGTTCAGAAAAAGATGCAAGAAACTTCAAAACGTGCCATTTCCCTGGTGGAAAACAAAATGCAAGTTTCATGCAGCTGCGAGAGCGATTTCTTCCCAAGTTAGTGCCCAATTCTTCATTTCTAGGCAAAGTTTTTGATTTTTCCATTATCGTGACTTTTCTGACAGTTGGCAAAGAAAATGCCTAACGGCCTCTCAACAAATAACATTGTTCCTAATTAACTCTGAACACGTTTACTGACAAACAGGAGCAGAGTGTTCCGGGTTAGCCCGGTCCATGCTATGCAGGGGGAAGGCACTTCTATTTGGAGTAAGAGTCCCTGCATGTTGTTAACTGGGAGCAACTCCTGTTTAGACAAGCCCCCAGGAAAACTGTTCTGGCACGCATGCATGCAAATACAGACTGTCTTTATTTGTTGTGAGCATGAATAAGAGCCACGGATATCAATTTGTAAATATTAAAGGGTTGCATATGCCTGTTACAGTTCACAGGCAATTGCTCAAATGCTTTAGTTCTCACGTTGTTTTCTGCAGGTAGGCGACACTGTGGCCCCGAGTGCCAAATCTGGCAGGTGATCTCGAATAATATAGGGAATTACATACGGATGATGTACTGGTGTGCACGAGATTGTTTTCTGGTCTCAAGCTATTAAGTTGTAGAAAGAGGCACAACTTTTCAAAGGCTTGTTGAATCAAGGTGTCCCCCCATCACCCCTTGTTGTCTGCCCTCTCTCTTCTCCCCCTCCTCCCCTCAAACTGGTCAGGATTTGTCAGTGAGCTAATTCTCCTCTTGAGAAAAACTTCTTCTCACGAGAGAAATGTAACTGGTGTCAGGTTAGGTCTTTCCCAGTCATCATGCAGACTAGCTGACGAAAAGTGATTAATATTACTTAAAGGGAAAATATCAAGGTCTTTTGGCGAGAAGCCTGTTTCTCAAAGCCAAGGGATAAAGAATTTACCACTTCACTTGAGCGTTGGTTCCAGTGTATAATTTCATTCACTGCTACATTTTTTTCCTTTTTATCCCATTTGATTTGGCTCCTGATAAATATCTCTGAACACAGATACATTTTTAGAATTCCTGCCTAAACTTTTGATTTGCATACTGCAATATATGCTCAATAACTTTACCTGAGGCTTTTATATTTGTACTTTACACTAGGTACAATTTCAATTTATTGAGCTACTTCTCCTCCATACAGTTTGATTTTTAGCAGGTTTCTAGGTGTGAGGGAGCCCTGACAGAGAGAACAGCGTACAACACCAGGGAGAAAATCTGAATTTCCTTTGTGTTCTTTATTCCAAATAAATTAGCCTGGACATAATTCAGTATGGATACAATTGCTATAGACTGCGGAAAAAGTTCCCACTTCCATCTGGAAATTGTGGATGAATTTGGGTTTTCAGGTTTCTTGAGGCTTATGTGACCATGCTCTGTTTGACTTCATGATTTTGTAATCTCTTAGCAAATTTGGATCCGCTTTAGCAAGTGGGTGGAGATAGATAATTAAGATAATGAAATTTCTATGGGTTTTATGAATATAGGCAAAAAGGTATATAGAGAGACCCTATAAATGCTCTGAGGAAAAAGGTTGTGGTGGGAACCCATGTCTTTTGACATGACAGAGAACTTGAAGTATTTATAAGCCCACCAACTGCAGGAAAGCCTTCAGTCAGAATTTAAGACATACTCACTTCTGGGCCTCTTGGCTACTGGCTTGTTTGTGGAATGCCAGACCAGTCCTGGCCTCCTACACGTGAATTTCATGGAAGGGGGTTTCCCTCTTGTATCAAATGAACTCCATCCATTTAGACTTACACTGATGACTGAAAGCTGTGTTGAGCTGTCTGCATATGTATTATACGCTCTTTTCATATTTTTGTTCTTGCAGATTATTGTGCGACAGAAAACTGGATAAACATTAACAGAACCTGGAATATATTTTACATGTGAAGCTCAGTCAGACATACTGATAATTGCATGTTCTGTAATCAAAACTGTGTAGGCTTTTCTTTCTAAGTATGGCAACAGCTGTTAGAGCACATCTGGAAAATATGCTTTAAGCAAAGGTATTTTAGCTCAGAGAATTTCATAATGCATGGGATATTTACCAGCACTTCTTTCCAGAATACTAATCTGATTTATCAGTATTTTTAGTATAAAAGTCTTCATTTTTTTTATGATGTTTGCAAAGCTGGTTTTGAATTCATATCACAGATTGGCCATTCCAGTGTAGTTCAAGGCTAAATGCTGCAGAACAAAAACATTGCTTAGCTACTATTTTTAGGTAGAAGCCTACGTAAGCCTTGTCTAAAGCCCTAATAATATTTTCTTCACTGATTTCAGCCAAATATTTTCCCTTGCTTTGATTCTAAAGAGAAATAATTGTTTCATACTGGAATCACATTGAGAGGTAAATTGGTTGGACTCCTGCTCTGTGCTTCTTGAGGCTCATGTTAACGGCTTCTGTGCTATCTCCCTCTCTAGAAAATAGAGATAGTTGTACCCCCTGCAATTATTATAGCGTTACTGAGAACTTCTTTGAAGTCAGTGAGAGTGTTTACAAGGTAGGATCCTGGCCACTTGGAAATGAACGGCAATATTTCTGTTTGTGACAGGAGCCCGAGCGTTGTGGTTTCTATGCTTTCTTCAGAACTGTTGGATAGACATGGCACTACAAAAACAAAATTATTAAAATTATTGATTAAAATGGAAACAAAAAAGCAGAAAACTTAAATAAACTTCAAAAAACCTCTATCCATTAATTTATTGATAATGTTACACATTTTGTTTATTTGGAAAAAAATTACTAAAAATAAAGATGCAGAACCCCGGAACCTTTACTAACAAGGTAATACTCTAATCAGGATCTTGCATTCTGACACGTGTCTCAAAACTAGCCAACCAACTTGCTTTCAAGATGATGGGGGAGATTTTGCAGATAAATAGCATTTACCAACAGTTCCCCAAGTGAGAAATCAGTTCTCCTTCATTTGGAGTAGGAGGCAACTGTTTTATGCTAGATAACATTGTGTTGGAACAGCTTTGCGCCTGAATTTTAAATCATAAATGCTATGCTTGTTGCGCACCTGGAGGCAAAATGCAGTTACCCAACCAAGGAAGAAACTACAGCAAAGAAAATGGATGAGATGATTAAAAAAAAAAAATCTACGGCAGTGATACCACAAAATAAAAGAGTAACATGGAACGTATTAGTGGTAATGTGGGAAAATTAATTCCAAATTATTGACAGTTTAATTGACCTACAGGAAGTATTTTAATGGGCTTAGTATGCTGTGCTGTTCTTCATTTTTTAATCTTTTCCACTGGGCAGAAAACCAGTTTTTCCAAGTATGGGGTTTAAAGTTGTAACAAATGGTTGCTGTGGATTGCCTGGTGGTCAGACGCCAGCGCTCGACGTGTGACCAAGTCTCTTCCTCTTCCATCCAACACCTGCAAAGCCCATCCTGCGAGCAGGGCTTGGGTGCCGCTGCTCCACTCTTGTCCCAATCTTGCTAGTTACAGAGGCTTTTTGCAAATAGTATTCACAAGGTGATTTGACCCCCAGGCTCCGACTGCATGAAGAAAAGGTCATTAAAGATCGGCGGCACCACCTCAAGACATACCCGAACTGCTTCGTTGCCAAAGAGCTGATCGACTGGCTGATTGACCATAAAGAGGCCTCCGACCGAGAGACGGCAATTAAACTGGTGCAGAAATTACTGGATCACAGCATTGTCCACCATGGTAAGTGCAATATCAGCTGCTAAAAAGTTCTAAGCTAAATTTTATTGACTGCTGTGAAACAAAGGGAAACCCCACTCCTGCTCTTCAACCAAGTAGATGACAGATAGGATCCTTTCCCTGCCAGAAAGGGAGCATCTGCCTTGAACTGTGCTGCTCCGCAAGGTCCCCTGTGTCCCGAGGGACACGGAGAGGCTGAAGAGGTGTGGAGTAATGTTCCCCATGTGTACAGGGGGGGAATTTACTGGAGACTGTGCTGCTGCTTCCCTGCCTCCAGAGGAGCCCCAGCTGGATCCTGTCCCCTCTCTCCCCGCTGCCCTCACCTCCCCGCTCCCCAGAGCACAGTTTTCCAGCTGAAAAACCCATCTGAAAAATCAGCCGGCAAGAAAAGATCATTTTTCTCACGTGGATTAGTTCTCTGGCCCTGTCCCTCACACCAGCTGCACAAACATTAGTGCTGGTACAGCTGCAAGAAAGTTAGTGGTCCGACTGTGCCCTGATTAATTTTCTCCTAAACTTGTTGTCTATTTGAGATCTGTTCCTTTCAGCTTCTTGAATAACAATTTACGCTGATGAAAAGGAGACTTCCAATTCAGCGGTAGCATTTAGTTGCCTTTTGGTGCACAAAAAGGCTAGGAAGCACACGAACAAAGAAGATCCAAGGCCTTGATTTCAAGCATATAGTATTACCCGTTTCAAAAAGGCAAAATGTACCATTTGTTTCTTTTTTAAGAGAAAACAGAGCAACTGCGAACAGACGAATGTTGACTTTATGCAGGGGTCACTGTGTGCAGCAATACTGCTGCTATCTGCGATACATTAACAACACCTTAATTAAAGGAAGAAATGCACATATTGAATGAGTGCCACTTCTACAGCTTCTGCTCAGCAATTAAATTAAAATTCTGGGTTGTTATGGAAACTGGGACTCATGGTAGATAGTTAAAGAATAAAGTAATTATAGGGTTTTCAAATCTGACTACTTAATCCTCTATTGAGAAAATGTCAGTGAAGAGTTGCGTGGATGCCTGAGTGACTTAAGTTAATTGAGCAATAGATGTTTTATTGCTGAATGCTTGTTTAAAGCTTTAACAACCTTCAAATGTTTTCTACCTCAGGATCCAATTGCACACTGTAACTTCCATACAAATTTTACGTATATGTGTGTATATATTACACATAGAGCAGGTGTTTCCTAAAAAAATGAATGTTTGCACTGAAATGTAATAAATTTGTTTGCGAAGAGAGCTAGGGCAAATTCAGAGAGGTTCAATCAGGTTCTGCAGGATGCTCAGAGCATCCTTTCAACTCCCGTGTCGAGTGAAAGCGGTACCAGTTCCTGCTTCTCTGGTGCAGAAGGTGAGCCCATGTATGTGGGCTGACAACTCTGCTAGGAGCAGCTTGGTTGGGATATCTTTCTCATTAATTTATGCCCTTGCTGGAGCTCTGTTCTGCATTTACAGGAGCCCATTGTCAGCTGCTCTCTCAAAACCTTAAAATTTAGCATTTTGCATTGTGCTGCTGTTGTGCCTACCATTTGCTAGCTGGCATGGCGGAGCAATTGGGACGATTTTAAGAGGGCAGAAGGCTTTGATTTTGACTGTTTCTGCAGTGAGTCTCAAGTTTCCTACAGCATCACTCAACTGATACAAAAAACTTTAAGAAGTTTGCCAATCCTTAAATTATTAAGGATGTTCTACACTGGTGGCCTTTTAACCAAGCTAACAGACTGTTTTCATCAAAAGGTTTTCCAGGTATATAGGAGATGGATGCTTTTTTGCTTTTTACGTTCACAGTAATACTCACAAAACTGATGAACACCTATCCCCCTCACCTAGAAATTTGATTACCTATCTGAAAGTTTTCTCCAGCCTTTCATCAGTTATTAGAACCGAATAAAGTTGTATGCTCACAAATACAGGGGGTTAGGCTCCATACGTGCTTGCTTTGAAGTTCAGCAGTGATACCTGCTAAATGGATCCTCAACTCCTTAACATCCCTATGAAAATTTTTTTATTTTACCTTTCAGTCTGTGATGAGCATAAGGAATTCAAGGATGTCAAACTGTTCTACCGCTTCAGAAAAGACGATGGGACGTTTCCGCTGGACAATGAGGTGAAGGTCTTCATGAGAGGACAAAGACTGTATGAAAAGTATGTTGCATTCAGTATCCATAATGTGTTGCTAATAGTACCACAGGAGGCAAATGATACTTGTTAATCTATTTTTGAATAGTCAGAGTCTTTCAAATCATGCAAGAGTGGGTCTGGGTAATCCCGTGACTTTATTTGGTAACCCTTCTCTCTCTCTCCCATTTCCCTTTCACTTTTCTACCGTGTTCACTTGTAGCATTTTGTTTAAAATGAAATTGCATTTTCTTATGTTCTGGGTTGTAAATACATCCTATATGAGAACCCAATGTAAATTTAAGCCCTTGAACTCTACTCTGTAAAAATAATTACTAATGGATGATTTGTCATGTAAAATTGTAATCACAAGACCTAAACCTTTAGTACATCAACATGTACTGAATGAGTGGCTACATATCTGTTGAGACTCCTTATCTTCACCAGGAGGTATGATTTTAAATAATAGGTGAAATTAATCTTCAGTGTTCCAGTCTGCAAAGCTTCTACATCAGAATGGTTATATTAAATGTAGTTTCAAAAAAATCCCAGCCAAGAACATCTAATTAAGATTTGAAACAGATGATTATGCTGAGATACTGAATATCCCACTGGATTACTTCTGTCAAATAACTAGGCAGCTTAAGTGTACTTCCCAATCTATAATTAATGACATTTTTATTCAGGATGTAGAGATTGTGACATGGTACTTTCAAGAAGAGTGAATAAAATGCACGTTGGCATATGCTACAAACTAATGCGAAAGTTGCGATATGTTATTTGCCAAAAAGCTTGAAGTATTGCTCCAGACTGAATCCCCCCCACTCTCCTGCTTGGTTAGAGCAGAAGCATGCAGCAGCTGGGAGAGATGCTGTGCCTTCTGGCTGGAGTAATTTTGCTTCCCTCTTAGAATAAAGCACTCAGGACAGTCCCAAGTTTAAAAGCTGATGATAAATATTGTTTTCCAGGTTAGAAGGCTCTGAAGGTCCATTTGGTGAAAGAGCAATTAAACTGAAATATAAACCAATAATTGTAAATGCCACTCCTTTTGTTGCACCCATCATATAAAATTCCCTGAGACTCAGTGACTGTGACTATTTAAAGTAAAAAAAATAATTGTATAAGACACAAGAAAATACACCACTGGAAAAAATCCTTCATTGGATGCATTGGGACAGATGAATTGAATCACTCATCTCCAAAATCTCCTGTGACTTACTAAGCACAGCGTTTGCTCCTTTAGACTCTGTAACATGCAGTGCCTGCAAGCCTGGCCCATACTATCAAAAACCGGTCGGTGTGTCTATAGTAGCAAACCTTTTTTTCTATTTGTTGTCTATATTTCTATTTCTATTCTGTGAGAAAAATCATTCTTTGTTGGTGAGGCTGATAACAGTCCTCTGAATGAAAGGAGCCACGGTGGGAAGAACTCTGTTCTGCCAGTGTCTGCTTCCATCCCCATTTCTCTGTGTGAAGAACTGTCTCCAAACCAATATCTAGTATCCAGTTTGTCCAACACTGTACTAGCAGAAAAATGTTCATAACAGTATAGATCGTTCTCGTCTTGGAAAAGGAGTTAATGCCAAAAGCAGCACCTATATCTAAATATAACTGCATCCTCATGAGGCGATTGCTTCAAGGCAACGTATCTAAAGGGTTCAGAAACTTTTAAAACCAGCCCTGAGTGCTAAATATAGTATAGATTAAAAATACATGGCCTTTCAAAACCAGTCTGTGACAGTCAAAACTAGTGAAAATTCTCCATGGATCACTGCAAATATTTCATATTCATGGGAGATAAGAACGCATACCTGAGGTATCTGGGCTTCACTTTGTTTATTGCAGCAAATCCAGTGTGCAGAGCACTCGGATTTCGTTAGGTCCCTTGTCCATGCACGCTTATTAGCCACACCTTCACAGTTTCATTGGATGCATTTTAAACTCAAAATCTAATACTGAAAGTCAGACTACTACAGAAAGAGTTCTGCAATGAGATGTGTGCATGTGTAATATATCTGTTGTATCAGTTTGCTTATAGTGTTGAGAAAGAAAATATGAATTCAGTGCAATTCAAATAGTTATTAAATGGCAACAACTGGAGAAAAGTATTCATGCAGAGACGTGAAGTCACTTACCAGTATATTCAACTTGTTTATCAAAATGCCTGTTGGCCTAATTTCAAGAGAAGTACAACTATGCCAAAGGAAATCTGAATCCAACATATTTTAAAAATCTTTGTCTAATTTTGTAGATGCTGTTGATCTTCACTAGGCTTTGCTAGTTTAAGATAGATATTATAATACTATTTCCTGCCCTCTCCACGCACTGCATTAGGGCTGGTGTACCATTACATTCAGAAGCCAGTGTAGTTTGTGCTTGCCAAAAATTGCAGACGTGTTACCCAACACCAGTCCATGCAGATCGGTACCCTCAATGGGTAAAATGAGCAAAATGCTTTAGGAGGATCAGCAGGTTGTTGCATGGGCAGAGGAATGAATGCGTTAGGCAGGTTCCCTGCATTCAGACAGCTGTTTCGGGTAAACGCCCTGTGCTCTGCCCTGGGACACGGGAACATTAGGTCTGTCCCCATGGTGAGGAGCTCCCTTTCCCTGTCTCCCTTCTGTGTGACCCCAAAGCTTCTTGTACCCTGGATGCTCCTCTCTTGTGGCATTACCTCCTTCACCTACTGTGGATGTCTTCAGTGGCTGTCCTTGTGCCACTAGAAGATTTAAAATCAGTCTCTGACTGTATTCTCCCTTCATTTGCACTGAAAATCATCAATCAGCTCAGATTCCCTGCACATCATTGCAAACTTTGGTAATCCTTTCTGTGAACATGCTTTGAGTTTCAAGTTTATAACTAGAGATTAAACCTACTGGTTTTCCTACAGCTTTATCTGAAAATTGTTGAATAGTTTATCAGATCCAAAGATGGTATATCAGTTTTCATACTCGATAGGACTAACTAAATAGATCGAATGAGATAAACGTTTCCTGTTCAACAAAACCCTCCCTGCAAATCTTAAATAAATCCAGCACAGACCTTTCATAGCTTTTAAAAAAAAAAATCAAGTTGTGCAGGCATCCTATTTTTATGATGTTTGCAATTCTCAGTAGGTTTTGGTCAGGCACACAGGATTGTTGTGTTTCTGGTGCAGTCGGCTTTAAGAGCTATAAGTCATCTCATGACGTTGACTTCAACTGAGATTTTTCAACCAGATTTCACAGTGAAAGAAGTGCAGACTTATGGTTTTAATTTTAGGAAATCATTCAGATAATTTTGAGACTGCATTCTTTGAATCACTTTCATTTTAACTCATCAGTGGTTAATTCAAAATTATCCTCTGGTGCAGTTATTTAGATAAAAGAAGGTTAAAATTTTCTTTTGAAAAGGGTTTGAATTTCAGTGTTTGGCTAAATACATTCCCTTAATGCAGGGTAACACCAGTTTTAGCAAATAATATGTTTTCACATGAATGGCCTCATGATTTTTTGAAACAAGGAGAAAATGGAAGAGATAGAGGCAGTTTCTGATTCTGGCTAATGAAAGGCCAGGTTTTTGGCTGATGTAAATTGGTACAGCTTTGTTGAGAGTTGTGGAGTTACAGTGATTTACTTCAGTTAGTGATGTAAATCTATGGATTGTTGTTTCTAGGTTTGTTAAACTGTCTATTTGTCGTGTCTGTTTGTTCACAAGTCCAAATCCTTTGCAGTGCTATTCTGGGCACACGCAGAAGGGTGTGAAATGTCAAGCTAAGTGTTTTTCCACTTGATATTTTTCCAAATTTCTTTTGTGTCTCTGTAAAAATCTAATGATGAGCATCTCTTTTTCAAGGACCTCTCTATCTGCAACTTCAATGAGCTGGTCAACTAATTACAGACTCATCAAAGAACAATTAACACAATCCTAAGGATGTTTTATTTGGTGCCCGCAGAGCCTGGGTAACCAATTCTGGGTAACCATGCAGCAGATGGTATGAAAAGACACGAGCTTTGGGTTTGCTTTTTCTTCTGGGGGGAAAAAAGCCTGGTGAACGGGACGCATTTGAAGATGGTCCCTTGAAGCTCTGTCTGTATTAGATGTGGTTAGTCTGGGACAAAATGTTGCCTTGCATGCAGATGCTTGTAAATCAAAATATTGAAAGGAATAAAGTCTTTGCAAGACTTCTGGAGTCAATACCTTGTCCCCTGTGGCACATGCTCTTGCTTTTGGCCTCATCCCTGACTTCAGCTAATTTTGATTTTCTTAGTTCTTACTCAGCTCAGAGGTGCCGGCAATGATGCACCAACATCTAAATGAGCAGTTCATTATATCTGCCACTGACATACAGCTGTGGTTGAGCAGCCTTTGCCTGGTTTGATGATCTGCTGCCTGGTGGTCAGATCCAGTCAGTTCAGGCTTCTGGTTAGCCCTCGTTAAAGTCAAGGGAAGATATCTTTCAGGTGAAATAACAGGGGCTGGATGCTGTCAAACCAATTCATTGTCATTTCAAATGAAACTTCTCTCTGTGTTCTTATGGCACAGATTTTTCTGATGCCTCCCAAAGGAGGTGAAGTTATATTCCATGAACTCTGGACATGCTGGAAGTTTAAGAAGGAGATGGTCCATGTATGGATTTGCATGAAGTTCAAATTTTTGATCAGAAGGGCAAAGATTAAGCACTTCCAGAATATTCCTGTTGTAGTTCAGTTGTGCCCTTAATTTCAAAATAGTTGGAGAAGGGAGGGAATTTATTAGTCTTAAATAGAAAAAATAACCATGCCATTCTCGAGCTGTTATTCTGAAAGTCTTACCACTAGTTCTATTTATTATTTATTTATAATAAATAAAATAATTATGAAGAAAAATGAAATTAGTAAATAAGGAGGCTGTGGTGCTCAGTTGCCCAACAAAACAAAAAAACAAGTGGGATTCTGTATTAAAAGGGAGTGATTCTCATTTCTTCTTTCAAACTGTCTTCTCTTTCAAACTGTCAATCTTACTTTTGCATTAACAAAACACTGAGGGTTTTTTTTTCTTTTTTTTTTTTAATACTGTGTCATTTGCATAGGTTACTTGAATGGAGAAGAATTTTATTAGTATCTTTAAGCTAGTACATGCCAATTGTTAGAAGATTTAGAGACACCTCAGGATGTTCCTCTGAACTCTGGTGTTACACAGCTGCATCGCTAAGTGTTGGATGCTAAATATTTATCAACCACCCAAACCACAAAACTACCTTTTTTTCTTCCTCTTGAATTTTTCTGCAGATGTTTTAGAGCTTATGGGGAGTTTTCAAAACCATCTAAATGACTTTGGGGCATGGTCCTGCTAGCTGTAAAAATTAATTAGGAATTTTTGAACATGTTAGCCACAATCTGGTGCTTTTAGGCTAATTTTGTTTCAAAGTTGATTATACAGTAACTTTTAGAGAAGCTAAAGAACTAAATAGGGGAAATGTGAAACTGAAAAACCTTGTTTTCTTTTAGGGTAAAAACAAGAAAGCATTAACTTCACACAGGGATATAAAGCCCAAAGTTCTTGACTAAGCAGTTATAATTCACATCCTAAGTTTAGACTGATAGCTTGAGGAAAGACTTAGAAATTCAGTGAAAGGTTCACTTATGTTTGCTTAATATCAGTGAGATTTGCCAGAATAGATCTGGAGTTGCTTTTCTGAAGAGCCATTTTCCCTACCAATTTTTTCCTCCCTATACTAGGCTGATGAGTTCTGAAAATACTCTTCTGCAAGCCAGGGAAGAGGAAGGAGTCAAGTATGAACGGACCTTCGTGGCATCAGAGTTCATTGACTGGCTGATCCAGGAAGGAGAGGCCACGACACGGTCTGAAGCAGAGCAGCTTGGCCGCAGACTTTTGGAGCACGGGATTATACAGCATGGTGAGAAATTTACTGCCAGGTACAAAAGCTACATTTTTTTGTAATGCTTTCTTCAGGTCAAATCATGTGGAGGGGCTCTTGTTGTCTTGGTCATAAGATGTCCAAGTTCTAAATAATTTCAGAGAGGAGCCTAGGTAACTATTTAATAAAAGGTTGGCTGTTTCAAAAGCTCATTGTACTAGTTCTGAAAATTCTGCCTCAAATGCAGAATACAGCTAGAATTTGGGATTGTATAATAACAACATAAGGATGTGAATGAAAATCAATGCTCCTATGCTTGTGGTAATTAACTTGTAGAACTTATCAGCGATATGTATAATTGAGGTAGATAGTTTTGTAAGGATCAAGTAGCGATTAGAGCCATAAATAAGCTAAATTCTCTATATAGAATAAAAATGACGGGTTCTGTATGTCTTCCTACTTGAGGGCAGGAGCAGAGCACAATCTGATGCCAGAAAAGCAGCTTTCCCTCTTGGTCATGTTGCAGAGTCATTCTAGTATGTTTGGGCAAGAAAGAGGGTATTGCTTTTGGCTGAAATGTTATTATATTTGTCCTGGTGGTGTAACTTCTCTGAGGCAGGAATTGAATATTTATTCATGGTCCAGCACAATGTGTCTGGCAGATGCACCTTCACAAAGGAGCTCCCTCTGTTAAGGATGGAGGAGACAGTTTTCTCTCCATACTGCTCTGAGGGTGAAGAAACGAACACCCCTGGCACTAAACCCCATTTTACATGTTGTCATCATCTACTCTCAGTGCAAGTTGCCTTTCTGTGACCAGGCTTTTTCCACCATAAATGCGTTGCAGTGCCTCTAGGAGTGATGAAGGGATGCCAGGAGATGACAGAACAAGCTGGCAGAAGCTGTTAGCTACGTTGCTTAATGCACAACGGGAAAGTAATCAGATCCTTGTGATCCCAATGTTGTCACATCAACACCAATTCTGACAGAGAACGAACAATTCACGATACTAACAGGTTAATATACAAGGTGCTAGATTGATGAGGTTGCTTGTTGCTTTGTGAGAAAACCTAGTTTTAAGGAATAGAGAAAAATGGGGGTATAAGTGACCTGCACAGTTCCTTCGTGGTTGTAATCATGCTCACATTATCTTTAGCTTCCAACTACTAGGAGCTACTTCTGAATGTTTACAGTAATCAGCTTCCAGTTCTATAATTACCCCTGTGCTTCCTATGATTTATAGGGTGCCAACTGCTTGGAGCTTGATGGACAGAGAAGGTATGCCACCCCTCCTCTTTATAGCAGCAATGATTTCATTCCTACTTTTACCCAAGCATTTTCTGTGTATTATACAAGGTAAACTTTCCTTTAAAAAAAAAATGGAAAAAAAAAAAAGGGAAGTTAGATTTACGCTGCTGTTGATGTTTTTGCAGAGGAAATAAAGTCAGGACGACATTTGATGCGAAGCTGGATTTACTTTGCTATTGAAATCTTTGCAAAGCTAAGAAAGTCAGGATGTGGCTTTTATTGCAGATCAACCATTGTTTCATTAACTAAGGCAAATGCTCAGCAGTGCACCTTGGCAGGGAGATAATTTTGCCCCTGTCAAGCTGGGTTTCTGGGGGTATTCCTGAGCGATGCTGGCCCTGCTCACCTGTATGGATTGCCCTGGCTAGTTTTGCAGATTTATCCCCTGCCCATCCTCTTCTAGCAGTCAAGAGCACATGCAAAGTGCCCTGTTAGAAAGAGGTTTGAAACTCATGAAGTGACTGCAAATGGGGTGCTGGGAATTGGTTGATTGCTGAGGAAGTGGCCTTCTCACTCCAAGGTACCGTCATCTTCCTCACTCAGCTTTTATTGGGGCAAAGATAACTCAGTGGGGATTTCACACTGACTTGATGGGGAAGCTGGAAGTAAAATAAAACTGAATGATGTCCTTGAGATTTATCTTTACGAGTGGACATGCTTTGTACACACTCCTAAACAGGAGATTTCATTCTCCTCTGGATTTCACTGAAACAATCTGTCTAGATAGTGTTAGAAATATTGATGAAAGTATTAGCAGAATTAACACAGAGCTGGTGTAGGGTTCACCTTAGCAAGTGGATACGGTCTGTGCGTTTTGAAGGTTTGTGTAATGCTGGCTTCCTCTAAGAAGGGAGCTTGAAATGAGAACTCCCAGTACAGAATTGGGGATATAAACTATAAAATGGCAGGAGTGGTATTCTCTTTTTTCTCCCCATCTCATTGAATTCTCGGTCCAATTACCAAAAAAAAAAAAAAAAAAGGTATTTTTCTGTCTCTTAGTACAGTAAATTCATTTCACCATACTAAGCTCCCTTTGTTTTGTATCTCATCAGCAGTACCAAAATGTTACTTGACACTAATTGGCATCCTTGTTGGTAGAACCAGCAGAAAGACTCTCGACTGTGCAGGAGTGGAGAATAAAACATTTTCCCGCCTTAAAGGCAATCTTTTGCTAGCAGTATTGTTTGCTATCCACAATATGGAATATAATAAAGCTTGCTCTGCTATTCTTATGAAGTATTTATTACCTTGCCTAATGCAATAAAAAGTAATAGAAATAGTTGCATCAAGTTGTCAATCTCAGTAGTAATTTTCCAGCCACAACTGAATTGTGCAATTTATTTTTACTGGTACTGACTTTCATTTCAATTACTCAGAGAAGCTCTATTCTGCAGCTGAGGTACTGTATTCAAAACAGCTTCCTGTCACATTTATCTTCACTTTAATTGGTCAGACACAAACCAGGTTTCATACAGGAAACAAACACTGATGCTAATTTTAAAAAGGAAAACAGCAGTTTAAGAGCAATTGTATAAATGCTGTAAAAACATCAAATGTTGCAGTTTAAAAAAATCTTCCTGATCTCTTTGAGCAATATATAACTATACATACTTCGCCTGTCATACATGAAAATGATGAAACGTGCTTATGTGCTGAATTGCTTCCTTCCAAAATCCCACTGGCGCGTACAAATCGTAACCCACAAACCACCATTTTCACAAGTAGGAGCCAGATGTCCTTTCCTATGGACTGGTACCCCCAGGTACTATGGAATAAAAAAAGTATAGGTAACAGGGTATTATGCACTGTACGTTTCTTGAAGGCTTGTGTTGGCGATGTAATTGCCAGTAGTTATTCTGCATTTGTGAACACTGATGGTCTTTGCCAGAATATAGGAATAAAGATTGTGCGAAGAATTATAAACACGGTGGTGCACGTTCAATAAGGGCAGGGACAAAAGGGGCACAGAACACATTTCTCAGCTGTGGAAAATCCCATTTCTGAGGGTATATAGAGCTTTGTAATATTAACAGATAAGACTTCCCTCCAGGAGACTGGATCTTTCCTAGTTCTTCTTCATATGGAAATGGTGAGACAGATTAGCTACTGCGGTCAAAATTCATGTGCAGCAAGAGAAGAAGGAGGTTCTCTGCCAGCTCCAGTGTAGATCAGACCAAAGCAAGGATGGGCTGGGGGGCAGGCAGAAGAGAGCGTGAACATCCACACGCAGTCAGAGCCCTTGCTCAGTCTGGAAAACAGATACTGAGATGTCCAAGGAGGAAAGAGGGTATCCACAGGGCTCTTTCTGGCATCATTTTTTGGCTCATACTTGGTTACGGCACTTGCTGCAGCACTTACTTACTTACCCTGCACCCAGCAGCAGAGCACCACTGACATGACAGGCTACGTCCTCCTGTCCTCCTCCAAGGACTCGTTGGGTATGGAAGCTGGGGGGATGGAGAAACATCTGCCTGCCTTGCAGAAAGGTTTAAGGTCTGGAATCTCAAGTGATAAATACTTTCCATTTTAAAGTCTGGTTAATACTGTTAAGAGGAACCTATGACTTCTTAGGATAGCACCTGCACTTTGCAAGATGAATATTTGCATTTCCTGTGTGGCAGCGACCAAACCATATCACATTTAGAAATACTTTTCAATATGTTGAGGATTGTAAACACGTAGCGATTGCCCTGCACCGCAGACAGTACGGCATATGCCGCTCTCCCGGTCGAGCCTGCAAGAAGTCTAGGTCTGAGCAGCGGCTTTTGCCTTCCCATGCCAGACCACATTCTCTCTCTTTTGCTGTTGCTATTTTCCCAAGCTGCTGCTTACCTTTGACTGCATGTGCTTGGTGTTATTTCCTCTCTGACACACAGGATCTGACATCCCTCCAGCACCTTCCCCAGGCAGTGACCACAGCATGGTTCAGCATGAAGCGGTTGGCATGGCTCTCCACTCTGCTCCAGGGGGGCGGGATGCAGATTCCTGACCTTAGACCAGCAAAGGAACACGTGTGATGGGGTTTGGAAAGGCCATAGACTTTGCTTTCCTGAATGAGTGAGGGGTGGAAAAATCTCTTTTGGAGATGACTGGCTAGCAGGTATCTTCTTTGAAACATTTTATCAGTGCTAGGATTTTATAATGATAGTAAATATGTGGTAAGATGTCCTAGGCATGATATAAGTGTCTTCTGCCCCCACCCCCCTTTAGAATACCTTTCAGCTTTAAAAAGTTTTATAGAGTTAATTGCTCTTGGCCAGACCTGGTGCATTCAAGGCATGCACCTGTTCTGCTGGCTTAGCACAGAAGCGGGTGCTTACCACCTCTCAAGAGTTAATCTTTTATCAGCAAAACTCCACTGTGAAAATTACTTTCAGAGGTGAAAACAAACATTTTGTAGTGACTTAGTGAGAACAGTAAATATTGACATATGCTATCTCCCTGTCTCTGCAGAAAAGTCTTAAAACATATATTTAATTTTCCCTATTCTTTGCAAGGACTCTGTATCTTTATACAGCAAAATTTCCATTAACAAGACGATCAGTGCATTTAGTTTTAAGCATCAAGATGCAGTTGAAAGTTTGTTATCATTATGGAATTAGATTAAGTATCTAACAAAGTATTATTTCTTTTGCTTTTGTTGAAAAGCTTTCCCTCTCTCATCTAAAATTTCTGTAAAGTGTAAAGTATGTGTTGTTACATTTATTTTAGATGTCTAATTGCTTATGATT